TTTCATACCCACATGTATTTTAAGTTTTTTTTTGTTCCCCAATACTTTTTTTTTGTTCCCCAATACTTTTTTTTTGTTCCCCAATACTTTTTTTTTGTTCCCCAATACTTTTTTTCCCCTTCAGGCTTGTCATGTGTCGAGCAGGGTCCTCTACCTTTTTCGCCTTTTCTCTGACACTGGGAGGTCCTCAATGATGCAGAGTGACATTGATGTGATGTCAGTGCCGTTCTCTTCATCATTGCACTTTGAGTGCAGGAGTGTATGACACCCTGCATTTACAACATGTCTTCAGCCATGCGTGTTAAGTGAAGCTGAAGTCTGAGGACATCAAGTACTGTGGAGAACAGCAACATAGAGAAGGTGAGTATTGCAGCCTGAGCTGCATTTTTTATTTTACAATTTCTGGGGCAGATTTACAAATAAAGAGTTGGGCTTTAAAAAGAGTTTGAACAAAGGTATACCTGTATTTTTAATACCCAACACACCTTCATCTACCTGTTGCTGGTTACAAAAAGACTGTCATGCAATGTCTCATACCTGCAGCAGATTACTCTGAAAGCGACCATGTATGTATGTTTAGACTATGGGAATGTGTATATACTGTATATTCTGTGTTTAGTAGTTTTTCTGTAAAGAGACGGTATAGGAAATCTTGTGGAAGGCTCTCCTAAAAGCAAAACTCTGGGTTTTAGCACATTCAGTATGAAATCCTACATAAAGATTCAGTAGCCCAGGTCCACTCTTAGGGTGGCCATATACACTACAAGTCAGTTTTCTGGTTTTGAGTACCTCTTACGAATATTGGACCTTTCCTTAACTCCTATGGGGCAATGACGGGCTCCTCTGGTTGTCAGAAAATCTTCCTACGTGTGGGTTGATTCTTTTCCCCGTCATGATATTGCACTACTCATCGTTCTCAAGGAAATGACAGCCTGTCTATGGCTACCTTTTGGCCCTGTGTCTGGTAAAGTATTCACCGTTCACTTCTCGATCTATCCCGGCAGAGAGCCGTCACTGTCACTCACGGCTCCGTGCTGGTATTCCCCCCCCTCCCCTGTCCGATCCTCCACCGCTGACTGGCGGAACGGACAGGGGAGGGGGCCGGCACAGCTGGCTCTGCCTCCTAGATAGGCAGAGCCAGCTGTCAATCCCGCAGCTGGGTGGATCTCTACAGCAATGTCGGGATCCGTTCCGGCTGCGGCATCTCAGTATACCGCGAGCTGTAGCTTGCGGTATACTGAGCTTTGGGTGACGGGAGAACGCTAGTTTGTGTTCTCCCGTGAACCTTAGGAGAACTATGGGGAAAAGCCCCGGCCCCAATAGTTCTCCTTTTAATACCGTGTTTCTCCGAAAATAAGACACTGCCTTATATTTTTTTTGGCTCAAAAAAACATAGTAGGTCTTTTTTTCGAGGTAGGTCTTATTTTTTTTTTTTTTATGTACAACAATCCACACTTATTCAGGTAGAAAAGTCTACATGTATTCATTTACACAAATATGGTGATCAGGGCAATCGGGGGTGCCGTACCTTTCCAAGAGCAATATGGTAACCAATCGCTGGCCAGAATGAGCGAAGCGCACTTTCACTAACGATTCCTCATAGGCGGAATGCATTTGGTATCACTCCGCCTGTGACAAGAGGAGGCATCCGCTTATGCGGCTCTGCTCCCTCCAGTGCCGCCTCACTTTCTCTACCACTGGCTTCGTTGGCACCGCTGATTCCCTCCCGCGGCTCTTCAAGTTCCCCCTTAAGCCACCACTGGCCCTGGAAATGGTCACAACTAGGTCTTATTTTCGTGGTAGGTCTTATATTTTAGCAATTCCCAAAAATAGTACTAGGTCTTATTTTCGGGGAAACAAATGTAGTTGTGGTACTTAAATGCATTTTTAAGATTTAATGCCTGAGTTTAGTGTCACATTAAAGATAAATTGAGAACGTTCCAATTTTCTGGGTACAAGCTGCAGCCTGCATAATGTTAATATCCCTTTTATCTGTACTTTGGCATAGATCCATGAGTACTGTACAGCTCTAATTAGCTGCATGTAGACAACCGGGAGCCTTGTAAATGTTTTGTAATCTAGGACGACACAACATGCGCTAGATGGGTTTTTAAGAGCAGTTGATGTGCCTGCATTACTTATGTTTTAAACTGCCTCTACAACAGTTTATGAATTCTATCATATCGTCTTTAGGAATGCCAGCCGATGTACCTGAATGCACAGAAAGATCACAGGATATCTGTATTGCAATCTGTATATATTTCTGCAGTCATTGTACAGGCCTGCTCTGAAGACTACTTTGTCAATGCATTCTGCAGGCTCCACATTGGTTGCCAGTGAAACCCACTGATTAGAAGCGTGTAGTCGGCTTTTAAATATACCTTATCTTTTATATATAGAATGAAGGAAAGCCAGTCAGGCACTTTGTCAACCCGGAGACAGTACCTGCTCTGATGTGTAATTAAAGTAAACTCATCCTAAGAAAAAGAAGGGGAATGCAGTTGCTGACCTCCTCCTGCAAAGCCTAGTTACTTGACCGTTACTGCTGACCTACTGCCTTCAGTACTGAGTCACTGACCTGAAATAAGTATGCAGATCAGATCAACTTATTTGCATACCTGATCCAGGTAAGAGACTCAAAATATTATAGCTAGTAATTTAGCATGAGAGCCCAGCAACTAGCATTTTCATAATAGGCCAGCGATGGCAGCTTATACATTAAGTGGTATATTCATCAACGATTTGCAGAGACATTCACACTGCGAAATAGCATGTACATTAATTTTGTGCAAATGGAAGCAAAACAAATGTTAGCATATTTTCTTTAAAGATTTAAAGTAATATCAGGTAATGCTGCATTATGGCAACAAGAGGGAGCTGAGGAGCATAGGAAATGATTCCCAATCTATTATACTGATAATTATGGTTTCCAGTGATCTAAGTGGTGTTTTTGCAACTTGGCACACTAATTGGTAGGTCTGGGGGTTGCTCAATGGCACCTTTTTACGGAGCCTCTAGCTTACCAGATCCTCTGAGAATGGAAAATTGAAGGGTGGAAACTAAAACAAATAGCCAGAATTAGCTGCAGTTTGTTATGTCTGCGGTCTGTTGGGTCATTTCCTTCCAAATTGTGACCATATACCATGTATCCACATGGATGGGACCTTTTCCTTTTTTAGGCTATAGTCATATTAAACTCTCAAACACTTTTTCAGTAATGAATACAGATGAAACAAATATTCGTTGCCCAGCAAAGTATTTCTTTACGTTTTTGCCCAAGCACTTAGCCATCATTTTCCATCATTTTACAGCTGGCTTCAGCTCTATCATCTCAGCTTCCCTGAACCTCTTGTGCATTAGACAATCTCAAGGGACAGACCAATCTCCAGCAGCCATCCATCTACTAGCTGGGAAAGGGGAGAAGGAAGAAAGGGGGAAGCAGGGAGCAGGGGACTGACTTGCCTTGCTGTGCCTGTGTGTTTGTGGGGACGCACCCAGCTCCATAGGACCCTGCAAGGGAAAGGAGCCACCATAAACAGGATATCAGGGCCAGCGCTCAGGGGACCAGCTGATTCTGCAGGAAACTAAAACTTTCAAACATTGAGGAGCAGCATCCATTGTACGTGATTTGCCCAGCATTTGAAATAGCTTTAAAAACCTTTTGACACTGAAATTACTTAACCATACATATGTAATGCCAGCATTTGCTGTGGCTAAGAGGAGAACATGAGGATGAAGCCTGGGTTCCCTCAGACCTGGTCATGGTATGGAGCAAAACAGATGTATAAAATGTGAAAACACTAAACATGGAGGTATTAAATATAGTGAACCTAGAGTTTGTGGGCATAGTTTTCAAGACCCTGGCTCCAAAACTGTGTCTGCCTACAAGAGTTCACAGGTGTTCATATCTACCAGATCGTTTTGGTTACCCTGGCTGTGCATAAGTCTGTGTAGAATGAGCTCCATAATTGTTCCAGTAGTGCAATTCACACAAAAACCTTTTTTCATGACTGCTTTTGGTAAGGACATTTTAGGTACATTAAAAATATTTGCATCTTTGAGTAAACTGATTCTCCCTTCTACACAGATTCAGCTGTAAATGCATCACAAACAGGCCTCCCAGGATGAGGAAAGCAAACAGGAGTGCAGGCTCCGTCCCCAAAGTACCTGCCACGAATAAATCACAGAGCACCGAAAGGGCAAAATCGGAGAGCAACGCACCTACTTCATCCAAGGTGTCCCGCCCAGGATCTTCTCTATCAAAGGTAAAACAATAAGCTTTGGTCATGTTATGAAAATGCCTACTATATGTACCATAATTGGCAAAACCATTAGTTTTTTAGATGGAACTTGCAATGATGGCTGTTACCTGTCACTGGTGAGGCTCCTATTCTCTAACTCTTGGAACCAGTGTTAGTCCTAGAGCAGGTTTGTCACTATGCTAGATGTTTGAGTAGTGTGCTCTGCCCTGGAACTAGCATTACTTGTATGAGTTAGACAGCCTCCAACACTGAGCCCTAGCTTTAAAACATCTTTTTAAACAGATGCAAAACTTATGTACATTTTAACACATTTCAGTTGACTCTACTCACTCGGCTTGAAGTACGACCAATCTGATACACACTTGCTAGGCACGTATGAATCTGACTGGTGGCTGTGAGAAACTGTGATGGTTTACTCCATGTATTCTCGATGTTGAGAATCAGCCCGAAGCCAACAGTGAAGTGTGTGTCGTATCTCTGTTCTGCCCTTGGTTGCAGTAGAGATCCCTTCATGCTGCAACTCTGTTGATTCTATTTACACCTGCTATATCAGATCTTTTGTGCTTTTGTGATTGGGGGAGATGGAAAACTGCTGTTTTGCCCAGTGGTTGCATTGCAATACTTGTAATGGGAGCAATAATAACAAACAGCGCTATGACTCCTTCACTCCAAAGAAACTAACACAGGTTCCCTACAGAAAGCCGTTCTATATGTTTAACTTTTGTTGTGCAAAAATCAATGAATGCAAAGAGAATGATGTTCTATGGTTCAATGTGTATAACAGAAATGTGGACATAGCCTTTAGTATATACAAAAAAAAAATAGTAATACTGGGGAACATTTTAGTTAAATGGCTAAGAAAAGATCACCTCTGTTTGGATTTACCTGTTAAAAAAGGTATTCTAATTGTATTCTCAGTAGGGATGCATTGATACCGAGTATTTGGGCGAATACGAGTACTCGCCCAAATGCCTCAACACCTTCCTCGATATCGGAACTTCTGGTCACAGGGAGATTTCCTCTGACCGGCAGTATCGCGAAGGAGCATAGAGCCGGCTTCCGGGTGGCAGGAAATGACACTCCACCTGGCTTCCTGATTGCTCAGGAAGCTGGCTCCATGCTAGCAGAAGTGCCTGTATCGGTTCTCTGCATCGGCGAGTACCGAAATATAAATATCGGTAATCGATACCGAAAAACGGGTATCTGAGCATCCCTAATTCTCAGTATCAGTACCTGCTTAGATTATACTGCAAGCAACATCAAAGGCGTTTGTGACTGACACATGATTCACAACCCCCTCTGAAGACACTCATGTTGGCATTTCAGCATATGGCAAAATACGCAGTCTAGCAAGCATGTAAATTCTATAATGGGTAAAGTACCAGTTTGCGTACATAAACTCCAATGATTGGCAACATTAAGTGGTAGCAACTTGCTGGAGGCCATATCATAGTCATAAGTAATGATCATACATTTAGGTCCCCCACCTCTACAAATATTCTTGACAATTCTATTGTTGGACTATCAAATAATCATTTTCAAAGACACAAGTAACACTTCCACATACCGTAGGAATTTTTTACCCTTGGAATGTACAAACAGGATCACTTACCAGATGATGTTGACCTTACATGTTCGTATGACGGTCAATATGCACTTCACATAGTTGTGTGGACTTTGCATAGCGTTCTGACTTCTTCCCTGTAGCTGCCGCCAGTCAGCTTGGCAATCTGCTCTCCTGCCTAAACCTGGCCACACACTGCCCGAATCTAGTCTGAGTCAGTTCGACCAGTTTGTGGTTCCATTGGCACCCCTCTGTTCCACGAAAGCAGATTTATCAATTTTCTTTTGTCAAAGGGTTAGGGCTGAATTTTGCTGCAATGTGCTGCAGAGACCGCTGCGCAACCGGCATGGGGGTGGGGGGAGGAATTTGAAGGGACTGAATGGGAAAAATCACACAGTGCATGGCCAGTTTTAATAGCACAAGTGCATTGCCAATGTTACATGAAAAATACAGAAAAGCCACACAGAGAGCTCCACTAGTGCGGTGAATCCTTTAATTTTCACTTCACTAACGGAGTGCTCTGTGCACCATTTCTGTTTTTACTATGTAGCATTAGCTACATGCCTCTGTATAACTGAGGCAGGAGAGCCACGGCACCAATGGGTAATGGCCATTGCATCGTAGACGGGGAAGGTATGCCGACGCGTTTAAGCGTCAGTATCAAGGCAATTATCAGAAGCACGTATTGATCATCATACTAAGTTAAGGTCAAAATCATCTGGGAGGTGACACTGTTGGTACACTCCGAGGGAGTAAAAACCCAGAGGGTAGATTAAGGGCTCGTTCACACCGAAAGCGCGTGCATTCCAGAGCGGTAGCTCCTGGAACGCACTGCGACCGCTAAGAAACTTCCCCCCGCGTTCTGGGGCAGGAGGGGGCATGGCGGTGCATTGAATTAAATAGCACCGCTTTCATGCCCCCCCGGCCGCAGTGCGATCTGACGTGTGGCGAAACTGCCAGCGTTGCTTTCCACTGCAAATGCAAAAAATAGAGCAGGCCCTATTTTTTGTGTTTGCAGTGAAATGGAACAAAGAGCGAGAGTGTGTATTTTATTCAAACATATATTTACAAAGTCTTTTAAGGGGAACACAAATTATTATGTGCAATTACACGCAAAAGAATTTTTAACAACAAAAAACTCTTCAGTAGGAAAAACATTCTGTTTCCAGTTAAACGCATTAGCCATTACTACATGTAAACTGGGAGCAGCACCAGCCAATAACAATAAAGCTCTGTTCAAGAATAAGACAATTCATGTTATTAAATATCTGTCATTGAAACTGCTGAACACATTTCCAGAAATGCTGTTTCCAATGTGTTCCAGTTTTCTAGTTTTATTGTAGCTGACATTCTCTATATGCTCATGCTCTTTTTATGGTCCTCCTTAACAGCTTTTTGCCTCAAGTCACCCTTGTTAACTTTCCCCCACTTCTCTGGTATGTATTCTATAAACTTCCACCTGCACACCTCCTTCCCATGAGACTTTTTTTCTTTTTCTTTTTCCTGCCTTTCCCAAAAAATTACAACGCATGAAGTTACTAGATAACAGAAAAACTTGCATTTCATCATGTTTTTGTTTTTATTAAATACAAATTCATATTTGCTCCAAGACTCTTATGAGCACTTTTTTGTATTATTGTGTACTTAATGCACGTTTTACATTTTCTTTCGTGTTCTTGCACGGTGGACAAGCCACTAGATGGTGCTCCTGCTTTTTTTAAGTCATTGTATATCTAGTCTGAGAGTTTTGTATGGCTGAATATGAGTACATACTGCTGTATGTACATGCATACAAATTCCAGGAAGAGATGGGTAATCCTTGAGACCTTTGTAAATGGAACCATGGGTTCTCTAGAGCTTTTACATTGTTGACTGTGATTGTATACAAAGGTGTCCATGTCTGTGTGTGTGATATTTACACACATCTATGCCATTTGTCTGAATGGGTGGAAAAGTAGCACACTTTCTTATTGTTGTGTATGGTTGCAAAAAAGATTGCAATGAACCCCTTCTTTTCTGTATTGCATCAGTTTATATATGTATTTTTTAGATTTACGGTTTACCTAAACACAGTATAGGTTTTGCAAATGTATTTTAATTTTTTTGTCTTTAATTTTGTTCTTTATTTTTCTCTGATGGATTGTTTGAACCTGCTTCTGAAAATGCTCATTGTCAGTTGGGGTTCTTTTGTTTCTGAGTTGCTTAGTTGACAGCCCCACCACCTGCCTTTCCTTCCTCTAGTATTGCATGGCTTGCCTCCTGAGGCCCTGTTCACATCAGTGTGCACCATTCACACTGCAGCATTGTGACAGAAAGTATAATGAAATAAACAGTCTGCATGTTTAGAGGTCAACAGAAGGTATCCCCAGGAAGATGCCTTTCACTGCACTCCCGCGATCTGTTGTAAATCGCATGAGCATGTACACATTGATATTTGCTGTAACAATGCATTAAAGCTGAACTTTCCAAATGACGACAAATACAACCTTAGAAATGTTTAGTAATGACAATCTACAAACATATACTTCTAGATAATTGCAGGGTTTTTATTCTTTGCATACCTTATTTTATTTTTTTCCCCCAGTCTTCTCAGAGTGGACATTTTAACTAAAGACAGGTTACTAGATCTCTATTTACTTCCTGGAACTTTGGCACATGTGACTATGCCATGTGACTATGCACATCAGCTCAGGGGAGGAAAATACCTTTCCCTGAGATCTCGTGAGATTACAAATGAGATTTCCCATCAATACACTGATGTAACCTTCCCAGGAGGCAATGCTTGGGCACATTACATCACTAATGTCCAAGAGCACCAGGAAGTGGAAAACCAATAATTGTAAAATACATTTTTTTATTTACTAATGAATTTAAGATGATTTAATATCGGCATGCATGCTGAGGTGATTTTTAGTGAAACATGTCACTTTAAGGGGCCTAATGCTAGATTTGATATTTTTAAGCATGACCGAGAAAGCACAGACCATTAAATTAGAAATGGTGGTACGATCTTTGACAATGGTCGTAAATTAAGTACAGTAAAGGGATTGTGTATCAGGTTAAGGGTTTTTGGAAAATAGGGTCAATAGAGGAAATTTTCCTTTTAATAAGTCAGTATGGGAAGATAGGGCAGTTTTGTCCAAAACGGTCCTTAAAGAGAACAAGTCCTGAATCTGAATATTCATTCAGTCCTGAGCTGTTAGAACTGTACATACTTCCTAGTGAGACGTTTAATTTTGCCCCTTGTTTAGCTTTACATACAGTACTTTGTGTACGCCAGACTCATAGTTGTGAGAGCCATGAGAGAGCAGTTACCTGAGGCCTGCATAGCTGGTGACTTGTCACCTGGAGAAGACAGGCCAAGACAATTTAGGCAAAGCAACTAAAGCTAAAGAAAGAGCAAAGTCCAATTATGACTGATTCTTTTTAAGGGTTCCAGTGGATGAATATTTGTAATTAATGTAGATGTAAACCCGATCACTAAAATCACATATAATCTTTAATATATTCATTTCATTTCAGCATTCATTTTCAGTCTTTTGAAATCTACAGCTTTCCTGTCATGAAGTTCTTTGTTCAGGAACTTCCTAGGGTGACAATGCTCTGCTTCCCTGCCCTGTTTGCTCTTCTGCATTATCACCATGTCATTTCAGTTGGACACCATACGACAAGAGTGGACAAATTAATGTGGAATTTAGGAGCCATCTCCATTGACAACAGCTAGAGAAAACCTCAAAAGTTAGGAGCCAGCTGTACATTTTAGGGAACATTGGCTACCTTGCTCCTAGGATTTGTCCAGCCCTGCCATAAAACGCAGTGCTGCCCCTCATTATGCAGGCATGTTTGCACAGTTGTCCCCACCAGGAAGCCAATCCGGAGCAAGGTAGCCAGCGCTGAAGCTTGTGCATATAGACACGAAATGGCTTCAAGAGGGCTGGAGGAGATCAACATCTTTAGATATATAAACAGCAATATTTTTTAAAAGAAAAAAAAATCATACTGTATAATGCACAATGGTTTAGCAAACTTAACACCATCCACTTAGGGTTTACCTCTACTGTAGTAAAAAGGGATAAATGAAAGTATATCCAAACCCAGCAGCAACAATGTAATTCAACTTACCAGTCCTTAGATACGGTGGCTGCATTAGTTTTCATATTTCAGGCTAAGTAAATTTTCTGGAAGTACAGAAAAATTCCTGTTAATCCTGCCAGAAATCTAGAGTCCTTTCAACTTCCTGTCCGGTGCACCGAACGGAAATGTCAAACAATGTTATATTTTCTAGAGGTGCACCGAAATGGAAATTTTAAAAACGAAACCGAAATAAAAATAATTGTCAGACTGAAACTGAAACCGAAAATGTTTTTTATTTTAATTTTTTCACGTTTTTTAAATATTTTATTTATTTTTTATAAACTTTTTAATTTTTTTATATTTTTATTCATTTTTTATTAAATATTTGTATTTTTTACATGACTTTTAGGGGTTTCAGGGAAATATTAGGGATCTAAACAGACCCCTGATATTTCCCTTTTAAAATAGAAAAAGAGATAGAGGACTCTGTGTTCTCAATCTCTTTTTCTGTGTCCTCGGTTATCAATGAACAGGAATCCTCTGAGTGTTCCTGTTCATTGATAACATGAAAACATTGTATGTTTACTGTAACTACAATTATGAATGAACAGGAGGTGATGTAGATCACTCCCATTCATTCATAATTGAGGATATAGTTAACATACCATGTCCTCAATTATCTATCAGCGATCGCTGAGTGTGTGTATCTTGCTCTTCTCTCTGACATGCTGTCACAGGAGGCTGATCGAGCGGTGTAGGGAGGAAAGCCCAGCCTCCTGTGACAGCGCTGAGCAGTGTGGGAGGAGACGCCGGCCGCAGCTCTCCTCCAGCGCTCGGCCGGCTATCACAGTTTCTCTCCTCCCGGCTGGGACACAGAGCAGCGCCCAGCGGGGAGGAAGGAAATCAGCGATGCGCCGATGTATCGGCAGGAAAATGGCACTTTCGCCATTATGCCAAAACTGCCATTTTCGGCAGATATGTTTCGGCGGCCGTTATATAGGTGCATCCCTAATATTTTCAGCTTTCTTCTGTGAACTAAAAATGCCTACAATGTAATAGAGATGAGAAGTAGGTGTTGGCAGGCCAAATATGGAGAGCAGCCTAGAGTGACAACGCTGCCCCTCTGTAGATATAGTATAGTGAGTGAGCGTTGTCAGCCCTAGGAAAGCAAGTGTGTTACTGGCAGGATCACCAGGTGAAAATAAAGGAAAATCATGAAAATATTGCAACTTATACATCTAAGGACTAGTAAGCTGCAGTATATTAGATTTTAATGTTTGGGTTTAGGTACGCTTTAAACAAGTTTTAGTTTGGAAAGTGAGATTGTATTTGTGCTGAAATCATAGATATTATTAATCCACTGAGGACTAGAATTAGTCAATGCCTTACCAGAGTAAGGTTTAGAAGTGTTGCCTGGCATTCTTCATAGTAATACAGTATTGCTTACCTGTTTCTTATATGTTTTAGGCTAAGAGCAATGATGATCTCCTGGCTGGAATGGCCGGTGTGCCACCCACAAGCAACAGTGTAAAGGTGAAGAAAAGCAGTGCTGCAACAAACCCTAGTTCTGGGGCAACAATGAGTGGAACAGATGGAAGGGCCAAGAGCAGTGCAGGTAAAAATATACATCCTCAAATCATATCAGATAGGTTTCCCCTGGCCCTGATTATCTCTGAAATGACTTTAGTAGTTTGAGTTTATTTAGGACAAAAATGGCAGTGCCTGGTGTGTTTATACTTTACCTTTTACAGTCCTAAAAATGAATCTGCATCAAGACTAGACATTTAGGTATTTTCATCCTCTTAAGCTGTCAAATAGATTTAAAACAAGCCCTAACAGACTTTTCTAGCTGGATGTACTATAAAGTAATTACCAGGAGAAAGACTGTAAAGTTGTATGTGTGTACATAAGAAGATTCAGTCTGCCGTCAGGCTGCCACATATCTACTCTCCAATGAAAATAAGGGTACAAGAGCTGCCTCTGTTGAGAAATTTGAAGGTGAGTTTGTCTTCAATGCCTTTAGCTACAGAGTTGAATGTAGCTAAAGGCTTGTTATGAAGTGCTTATGCGGCTTGTTTATAATATGATCTGGACACAGTATCACTTGGAATTTGCTCTCGCACAAACAATTGCCGCACAAACGACTGATATCACAAGGTGGACAATGTTTATTCCCGTAGTCAAAACATGCAGTAAACGAACACAGGCTTCTCCAACTCTAACATGTTAGAGTTGGAGGAGCCTGTGTTTGTTTACTGCATGTTTTGACTTCGGGAATAAACATTGTCCATCTTGTGATATCTGTCGTTTGTGCGGCAATTGTTTCTGCGAGAACCAGTATCAAGCAGCATTGTGCTTTTCGTGCCTGCGTCGACGAGGGATGGGGTTGTGTGACCACAGGACGAAGAATATGAACGGTGGTTGCTTTGTGAACTTTGAATTTGCTGTTTGATTTTGTAAACCAATCTTGGTAGCCTCAAATGTCTCTTGTGTTTTTATTTAATATTGCTGTGATTGTCTATTCTACACAGGCAGCAACTCTATTAGTAAGAAAAGTGGCTCATCTGGGGCAAAAGAAGTAGGATCTTCTCGAGAAAGAGTCAGAGAGAGATCTCGCCTGAATGCTAGCAAAAAACCACAAGGATCTGGTGTTAACACAGGAGAGGTAACTGCCCCAACTAAACGATCTCGAGCTCGTGCAGAGTCAGATGTTCTTCGTATGAGCAAATCCAAATCTGATAATCAAATCAGTGATCGTGCAGCTCTTGAAGCCAAGGTGAAGGACCTGCTTGGTCTGGCCAAAAACAAAGATGCTGAGATTTTGCTTCTCCGCACTGAGCTAAGGGACATCAAAGCACAGCTTGGACATGGCATCTCTGATAAGAGTCCTGAGGATCCCCCTGTATTTCAGTTAGAAGAGCAGAATGCTGTTGTGCGGGAAGAACTACAGCAACTGAAAAACGAGAACAGAATGCTTAAGGATCGGCTAAATGCATTGGGTTTTTCATTGGGTCAACAAATTGATGTTACAGAGAAGCTTTACTGTTACCAATCCATGGATATGGCTGCTGGCAGCCACAGTGACTGTGGGGGAGGCACATTGGCCTCCTCCGTGGAGGGCTCTGCTCCTGGATCTATGGAGGACCTCCTGAGCCAGGATGAAAGCACACTGACTGGTGAAAGGAGGAGTAGTTCCATGGATAATTTAGATAGTGAATGCAGTGAGGTTTACCAGCCACTCACCTCTAGTGATGATGCTTTGGATGCCCCATCATCATCCTCTGAATCAGAAGGCCTTCCAAGTACTGAACGATCACGAAAAGGTAGCAGTGGCAATGTGAGTGAAGTGTCAGTGGCCTGTCTGACAGAGCGGATTCACCAAATGGAGGAAAACCAACATAGCACAGCTGAGGAGCTGCAAGCTACTCTTCAGGAGCTGGCTGACTTGCAGCAGATCACACAGGAGCTAAATAGTGAGAATGAACGGCTGGGTGAAGAGAAGGTCATCTTGATGGACTCTCTTTGCCAACAGAGTGATAAGTTGGAACTGTTCAGTCGTCAGTTGGAGTATGCACGAGCGTTACTTGATGAGCACCATGTACAGTACTCCTTGGACGAAGACCTCAAAAGTAGCCGTTACTTAGAACTAGAGCAGAGATACATGGAAATGGCTGACAACAGTCGCTTTGAGCGTGAGCAGTTGTTGGGTGTCCAACAGCATTTGAGCAACACTCTAAAGATGGCAGAGCAAGATAACAAGGATGCTCAAGACGTGATTCGAGCACTTAAGGAGCGGAACCACCATACGGAGCGCATTGCTGAAGCTGAACAACTTGCAAAGCAGGCATTGGCAGCCACCCTAGAGGACTATAAAGCATCCCTCAATGCTGAGCAGGCTGAATGTTCACGTCTCAAGTCCCAGTTAGAGCAAGAGAAACAACGAGTTGCAGAACTATACTCTATTCACAGCTCTGATGATGCATCTCACATCCAGAACCTACTGGAAAGCGTGCGTTCTGATAAAGAGAAAGCAGAAGCTCTGGCTGGGAACTTGCAGGAAGAGTTGGTGCATGTACAGAATGATCTCAGACGTATGCAAGACGCCTTTGATAAGGTATGAATATTATATAATGTTGCATTATTTTATAAAATGGAGGGGTGCTTTTACTAGTTCCCAATGTAAACAGTTGTATTCTGGTAAGATGCGGTGTAGTACTTGTATGGCATTTGTATTTGACTTTTTCATATGAACTTCTTTAGCTGGAAGATGAATATAGAGCATTCCGTGAAGAAGCACAAAAACAGGTGGCAGAACTGACCCTGGCACTTGATAAGGTGAGGAGTGAATTGGAAGAAAAGGAGACGGAACGCAGTGACATGAAGGAGACCATATTTGAACTGGAAGATGAAGTAGAACAGCACAGAGCTGTGAAGCTACATGACAACCTCATCATATCCGATCTGGAGAGTAAGTTCTGTTTTTGCTTGCAAATGTGCAGCAATTCACCAACCACAAGGTCATTCCTCTTTTAGTCTTCACTAACCCGAAATCATTTTCCATCACTTTAAACGTGGTGGCTTGGCACATCAACCAAGGGACTATTTTAGGTTATTGGCATTTTTATAACCATCAGGTTAGTGCATCTTTAGTTTTCTTTAAATCTGAACTTCAGGCTGAAGGCTAAATAAACACAGATGAAACGCACATGTGGGAGCTGTCAAACCTGTCAACGTGTTTGTATTTTTTTCAATCCAGTCCTGTAGTTTACACAGGCCTTCCACACAGCATGGGCTTGTCTGGCAGGGCAGGAGACTTAAGGTGCCCATACACTGCTCGATTCTCGTACGAGAATCGGGCGAAATCCCGCGATCGTACGAGAATCGAGCAGTGTGAACTAAGACGTGCGACTGTTTCTACTCTACGGAAAAGAAATAGACACCGGCACTCCAATAATAAATCGATTACGTCTATCTATTGACGTACATCAAAAGCAAAATAACACACTTAGTGCGACGTTTCGGGGACACACAGGAACCCCTTCATCAGGCAAAACAGGCTTGTTTTGCCTGATGTGTTTTTGTTTCTGCATTGCCGTCATCGGAAGCCCGCCCCTCAGCGTGGCGGGCTTTCGATGATCGCAAGTACGATCTTCCCTGTCCAAGAGGGTGTAGATCGTACGGGCTTTCAAGCAGCATACGACCTTCGCAAGACAAAAGTCTTGCGATGGTCGTAAGGTGTATGGGCACCTTTAAGGTTTCTCTGCTGCAGTTAAGCAACACCAAGAGGTCTTATCCCTCCCGCAGTCTGTGACTGGACAGTGAAAGGAAAAGTAGAAGACTGACAAGTTCATCCTCTACACTCTGCTTTCTCTTCCTATGAGGCTAGTCTCTTGTTTAACATGTGAGCACTGCAGCAAAACCTGGTATACAGGAGATTTAGGGAGGCTGATACAAGGTAAAGATTCAGGTACTTGTGCTGCTTCCTTTTAAAAATAATTACATTTCATGATGTATAAATAAATGCAGAGCTACATACAGCTCGTGAGAGCTTACAATCTAGTCGGAGAGACCAGTGAGACAAAAGGTAATAATTGTTTAGATTGAGTTAGTGGAAGAAGTAAAAGGATAGTTATGTTGAGGTGGGATAGGCTTCCCTGAAGAGATGAGTTTTCAAGGATTGCCTAAAGGTGGACAGCATAGAAGATAAGCGGACAGATTGGGGAGTTCAAGAGGATGGAAGACACTGCGGAGAAGTCCTGTAGGAGACTTCATGGCGAATTGCGTCAATCTTATCTTTGAAGTGATTGGCAATCTCCTGGACAGTCAATGCGTTGGAGAAGGCGGAGGGGGATGAAGTAGGAAGTTGAAGCTAGAAATAGGCTGATGAGAGGTTGTTAATAAGTGTGATTAAATAGGTCTGTTTGGCTGTATGGAAGCGGGTACTGTATTTTTGGAGGGCAGATTTATATTGGGTGAAGTCTTGCATGGATTTGGATTTATAACATAGTCGCTCAAGAGCACGACTATGTCTTTCTGAGTCTTCTAGTGTCATCTATCTACCAGGGCTATATTGGACGGGACCTGATTCTGTCAGTGGTGAGAGGGGTAAGTATGTCCCTACAGAATGAGAAGGAGCGATTTGTAGAGAGAACTGGCAAGGTCAGGGCAGGAAAAGGGTTGTGTTTTTGTCGTAAAGGTGGTCTGTTGCAGAGTAAACAAGAGATTAGTTAAAATGGCGAAGGTTTCTATGGGTAGTGGTTTGCTGGTTAGAGTGGTGGGGGGCTAATGATAGGGAGAGTGTGAATCTGATGAGGTTGTGATCTGAGAGCGGCAAAGGGGTGTTGGTGAGATTGCAGGGAGTGCAGAGGTGGAAGAAAATGAGATCAAGGGTGTTACTATCAGAGTGAGTAGGAGTGGGAGTCCATTGTGTTAGGCTGAGTAGCTGAGAGGTTGCTGTGGTGTTACTATTGATGGGGACATTAAAGTCATCAAGAATGGCTGCGGGTGTTTCAGAGGAAAGAAAATAGGGTAGCCAGGCAGAGAAGTTGTCAAGGAAGTGTGCTACCGGTCCTGGAGGACGATAAATCAGCGATACTCGGAGAAACAGGAAAACAGACTTATACAATGAACTTCAGAAGAGGAGAGTGATGGAGAAGGCAGTGTAGGAAAAACATTGTGACATTTTTAAAGGGACTATGTTGGAAAACTTGGGAGCTGTCAGTGTCCTAACATTGAAAAGAGTGAAGTTGTGCGCTCTGAAATTAAGATGATTGTGGAATTGTGTAAGCAAAGGTTTCAGTACCTTGATATCCTTTATGTCCTACAGCCAAAACATTTGGAGTATTTTTTTTCTTGCTTATTAGCTATGTACTAGATCATTAGATACCTTTTTGTTCTACTCCTCACGGCTTTCCTGTTGGGTAACTTTTGTTCCTAGTACGATTTGCAGGTCATGCACATTTGACACTATTTTTAAGTTCAGCTTCTTCACACATGGTAAGTGGTATATTTAAGGGAATGAGGATTAATAGTGTAATTTCGTTGAAATGTTTTAGGGCTGTTACTGATTAAAAATTTTCGTATTCGATTAATTGAAAAAAAATGTAATCGATTAATTTTGATTAATTATAACGCACATACAGATCCAACTACATTGGCCTATACACATACAGCACAGCAATGAAGTAATAAAATGAACTAGGATCACACTAATCCAGCACGTTATTAATCTCACGTGCCCCACTCAATATGGCCACCGCTTGAGTGGGGCAACTCAGAATAATAACGTGCTGGATTAGTGTGATCCTAGTTCATTTTATTACTTCATTGCTGTGCTGTATGTGTATAGGCCAATGCCTTGGAGTTTGGTCCACACTTGTGGGCACACTGACCAGCTGAGAAGATTGTAGAAGAAAGGTTCGATGTAAATTAGCAGGCTGCACAGTGATGTTCCCTTTACATGTAAGTATAACCTATTTAAAAATTGATAGGGCAGAACAAGTTTCTTGGGCAAACTCACCGGCCCAAGTGGCTCCGTCGGCTAATGAAGGGAAGGAGGGAGGAGTCTGGTGATGTCACGGACATCAACGTCACCGGACTCCTCCCCCCTCCCTTTGTTAGCCGACGGAGCCACTTGGGGACATCGACGTCACCGGACTCCTCCCCCGTCCCTACGTTAGCCGACGGAGCCACTTGGGGAAGGAGTCCGGTGACGTCGATGTCCGTGACGTTCCCGGATCTCCGACCGGACTCCCGGAAGCCGGCGGAGAGGTGAGTATTTTCATTAGCAATCAAAAAAATTTGTAATCGATCAAAAAGATTAACGATTAATCGAGAAATTAATCGTTAATTTCCACAGCCCTAAAATGTATACATTTAAATTTGTCCTAGCGATCTCTGAAAAAATGCCAATATTGATGTTCACTTTTACTGAAGATAATTCATGTTTCCAGCAATTTTGCCTGGAGCCTCCTGGCTCTGAATACTTCCTGCTGTTCTCTGAAAAATGTGTTCCTGGTAGAGGGGTTGCCTATTCTTCAAATCTAGAGCAAATCTTCCTTCTTCCAACGGCACCCTCTACTGGTGCCCAGGAAGAGCTTTTTCTCAGTAAAGGAGGGTGCAAATACAGGTCCAGGTCATGCTGCTGAAAACACTATTTATCTTCTCACAAAGTAGGACAATATACTGTTATTTTTTTAAAGGCAACTGGTGACAAAAAGTATGAAGGTATAATGTTTATCTAAAGTACCATTATACGTTTAGTTTAATTTTTCTTTTCTTTTTTTATTCTTTCTTTTCATTTTTTTAAATGCTACAGAGATAAACAACAGAATACTGGAAGTATCAAAGATTGCATTATAGCCACTCCATAGTTTGCACCAAATGTCTACAGATGCATAATGTCATAATACTGTTTGCTTGCAATTTCCATATCTCCTCAGATCCGCTCACACTCCCCTACATATTGCTTAATTTTACTGTTTAGTGTATGTGGCTTTAATATCACTTTAAGTAAGTCAACCCCATTGATTTATGTAAAGTTTGTAAGATGCTTGTAATAAGGCACAATGGGGGGAAATTGATCAAAACTGGAGCAGACAAAATCTGAAATGCAACCAATCAGCTTTTTTGTCTCATTTTCAACTTCTTACCTGAGCAAACTGAAGAGAGATGCTGATTGGTTGCCATGGGCAACTGCTCCAGATTCTGCCTGCTCCAGTTTTGATCAATCCCCCCTAGTATGTACAATAAGTATTTGCAGATACATTTCTCTATATGGTTAGAAGGTTAGAAGATGCAAATCACTAAATATGTATTGTGTATCTCTATATATTTATTTGTCTTCTTTGCTGTAACCAAAAGAATTTACTGTAGTTCAGATTTAATTTACTGTCCTCCTGTTCTCAGTACACTCATTCATCTCTTCAAAAGTCCATTGTCCTAATTATAGTGTTTCCGAAGTAGAGTGACAGCAGCTTATAATGACATAGTTACAAACGGACTTTAGGTGACATCCTGTTCTGTACGTGCCTTTTTTCCTTCTGCTCCGTGGCTGAAACAATAAGTCTAACAGCTTTATCAACATTTGTCATCGCTGGACAGAAATGTTACCCCAAGGAGGTGTCAAGGCTGTACTTATCAAGTCTTCTTTCACATGTAGCTAATAGCTGAAATCTAAATATTCTTATTTTCCTTCTACACCTTTGTCTATATAAATCTATCCCCAGGGTTTTATCCTTGAAAAACATTAGCTCACTAGAAGTGAGTCATGTACCATTGCATATTAGTTCACTGTTGGGTGCATCCCCTACTTTACTATTTTTGCTTTTGCCATACAGATGCTGTAAAAAAGCTGCAGGATCAGAAACATGACATGGAGCGTGAAATCAAAATATTGAATAGGAAGTTAAGGGTAAGGACACCATGCACTGTGTGTGTGATTGATGGCTAAAGTGTCTGTGGATATTGGCTGGATGTGGCCGGATACCCCTGATTTCAACTCTCTGTAAGGCACCCCAGTCTGCAGTAGAGAAGCTCCTTGAGTTAGCAGCCTATCGACTAATAGATGGCAGAATTTAAAAGGTTACCCAGTGGGGCACACTGCAAGGGTTAAGTGCTTGTTTGACTCAAAGCAGATATACTCACTTGATCCTTGGTCCTGTGGTGTTCAGCACTTCCCTCTCTCCGCCTCTGCTCCGGCCCTCTGCATCTTCAATTCTGATGCAAGATTCATTGTCAATGTGATGACATCAGTGGTCCTTAGACCACCGGAGCCCGGGGGAAAAGAGGCTGCAGGGACCACTCTAGCTACCCGGCAGGATCAAGGGAGTATATCTGCTTTATTTGAGCACATTACCCTTGCAGTGCATGTTTAAAATTCCTGGAGTTCTTCTTTAACATGTTTATCTCAAAAACAACTTCCTCCAAATAGTTGGGTGGTGGTCTCCCTTTTAAAGTGTCAGCACATCAACATGTGGTATTATTTTTGGTAGCCAGCAAATTGAATCGCCCACCTGCAACTTTTGTCTCTTGTTAATACAGTATAACAGTCTACAGTGTAATTGCTTTCTATACTTGAACCTCAGAGCTACAGATTAATGGCCAGAGCAATTCCCTGTTTTATCCATGTTAGATTATGTGTTAATACTGTTCCTACTGCCCCTGTTCCTACTGCTCCTGATATCAGTGTGAAGTTTGGCATATTTTTCCCCCCATCGGGCTATTGTCACATCTGCTGCTGTCAGATTATCTGAATCTGATTGCCAGAGTCACTGTTCGCCCAAGAATTATCGACTATCAGCTAGGCCCCTCACTGGTCGAATTTTGCCCAAGTCAGCATGACCTTGGCCGAAATTAAATCACTGTATGACCAGCTTCAGTAACGCTATCTGCAGCCCCACCTACTCAGCTAGTGAACTTGCCACTGTGTCCAAAGTAATTGATTGGATCTATGTGATGCCTTTGTCAGGGCTGCCAAGTGACACCCAGATCACTCAGTTATATGAGGTAACAAGGTCATAAGAGGAAGATGCCATTTTAAAATGGAACTCTGCAAAAATGGAATGCTTCCTGGCATTGTTTTTAAATCATTTAAGGGCAGCAATAAGTAAGTTACAAATTTGGTGCTGTCTGCTTTGCTAGGTGTTTTCTATTGGATTTGTATTTTACACTACAGTCCTAAAATGTACCTTTTATTGATGATTATCACAGGAGGAATCTGCTGAATGGCGCCAGTTTCAGGCTGATTTGCAAACTGCTGTTGTAATTGCTAATGACATCAAATCTGAAGCACAGGAAGAAATTGGAGAACTTAAACGGCGGTTGCAAGAAGCAATAGAGAGGAATGAAAAGCTTAACAAGGAACTGGAGAATGCTGCATCTCGCAAGTAAGAACACTAGTACAGTAGCATATGATCATTATAATCTGGTAGTGTAGGCCCTTTAAGAAATTCCTTAAAGGGCCCCCCCGGCTTCCTGAATGGCCTTGAAGCCAGCTCCATGCTCTCTCGTCACATGGAGCTGGTTTCCCGGCCAATCAGGAAGCCTGGCGGCATGTAATGACTCGCTTCCTGATTGGTCGGAAAGCTGGCCAACCAGGAAGCTGAGCGGCGAGTCATTATCCGTCCCGCTCCATACTTCCTCGTCACTTGGTGTAATGACTTGCTGTCCAGCTTCCTTAATGGGTCTTCCGGTATCCGTATTCGGTATCTGGAGTACCGAAAAAAAATATATCGATACTTGGTATCGGTGCATCCCTACTTGTGTGTGTATATCTGCTTTTCTAATTTGTTCTTTTTTTTTCTTTTCATGCCTCTCCAGACAGGAGGAGGAACGTGGTCGTGTTTATAATTACATGAATGCCGTGGAGAGGGATCTTGCTGCCTTGAGACAGGGAATGGGTCTTAGTCGCAGGTCTTCCACGTCTTCTGAGCCCACACCCACTGTCAAGACTCTTATCAAATCCTTTGATAATGCATCCTCTCCAGGTAATATTAAAGACATATTAAGCCAATTTAGGTCAGAACTCTCTCAAAGCACTACAGAAACTCGTATTTCTTTGTTTTATAGCCCCCGCTCCTGCAGCAGTGGTGGCAACAGCTGCAGCGGCAACCACAATTCCCCGCACTCCTCTGAGCCCCAGCCCTATGAAGACACCGCCTGCTGCCGCTGTGTCGCCCATGCAGGTAACTGCCAAACAATCATTTGATGCATATATTTAATGTCTTTTGTACAAAAAGTATGTTTATTGACTGCTCATGTATTGATTCATCCCTTAAAGAAAAAAAGGTCTTATGAGGGAAAAGGCTTTGCATTTGGTTATGCAAATTAAGACTGAAAAAAATGGCTCATGAACTTTAGGATGATGCAATTTTCTAGGCTTTCTGCTTATGGATCATAGTCATAATTGAGAAATGTCGGACACAGGAAATTAACTGTCTAGGGCTTTAGATTGCATACATGATATTAAAGCCTTCCTTCCTTACCAAACCTGTTGCACAGACGTTTCCTTTAGCATCTTTCAGGGCTTTCCTCAGACATTTCTCTCATCTTTGTTACATAAAGAACTGTTGCCCTGTTCTTCACTGTGACTTTTTTTTTTGCATGTGATATTTATTGACATTTTTCAAACATTCACAGCAGATACACATGTAAAACCATCGTAACAGATTGGCATATGCTTAATACATTCTATGACATGTATAGATAACGGCTATGTCAGTAAAAAACAACTGTGAGAGCATCCGTTATCTGCATAGCAAACATTGCAACAACTTATGATCAGTTGTCGATAAACCAGAAGGGTAAAGAGAGAAGAGGTAAAATAAGATAAACATCTAATGCTTCACCAATATTATCAGATCGATATGAACTAATTTTGGGGTACACCATGTAAGATCGTAGTGATAAAGGGACGAAACCGGGACAAACTGAGTGTCAAGGGATGAGGAGGATCGTAGAGCAATGGGCAAGGGTAGACCGCAACCAATACTGATCCTAGTGATATGGGACATTTTTTATAGTATGAGGAAAGGGGCTCCAGCCTTAAGCTCATAATTCATCCAAGGCCCCCAAGGAGCCTTCCAACTTGGCTCTATCATACCATTTCGAGTGTTGAAAGGTCAACATAATTTCCTTAAGTTGATCTAGGGATAGAGTCGAGGCAAGGAATGCCGACCACGTGTTAAAGAATCGACCTGTTCGTTTCTCATCAAGATGGGAATCAGATTTGTCTTAAGGCATGAGCTTACGAAGGGTTGTAATTAGGTCGTCTGTATCAGGTACTTTAGGGAGCAGCCAGTTAGTGAGAATGGTTTTCTTGGAGGCCAAAAGGCAGAGGTGTTCCCATCGAGATTGTGACTTTTATAGTACCTGACATGCCTCCCTTGTTTTTTCCCCAACATGTGGTGGAGAAATGGATTGAAAGATTTCTATATGTATTTAGGCTGCAATGTATTCTTGAACAGGCCTCTGAGTGATCATTCTTGCAAAGAATCCGTGTATATGTTTATGCCTGTTTTGCATAGGAAAAGTGGGCAGAAAATGGCAATCAGTTGCAAACATTCATCCTGGTTGGTCAGTTTTTCTCCTAGGGTCATTAGGAAAAGGTCATATAGGCATACAATTGTTCTCAAAGCAACCAGATTGGGCAAACATTCTGGCTATATGTAGGCACCCTAATTAAAAAACAAAAAAATTGTTATAGTTTTTAATGGAGTATGGAGACATTGTATTGTATTTGCTAGATCCCTTCACAGATATTTTCTTTACTACCTTCCCCAGAGACTCAACAAAAAGGGAAAACTCTGTAAAGTGAGAGGAAATCCACTCTTTTATAGGTGTCCCCATTGGAACCCTCACCTCCAGTTCTAGTGAGCGACAACAAAATTTGGGTTTCCTATCACTTTGTGTCCTAGTGACATTGTTCACCAGGACAAAGAAAGCTGCCGAGTGAGGGCACAGACAACAGTAGAAACTTGACAGGAGTTTTAACACTGCCATACAAAAAAGAAAAAGGTTATGGCTTTAGGTATTATAGTACCTCCATCTACTGTTTATTGTTCTGGATGGCATGTATAAAGTTGTGTTCATACATTGTGACACTTAGGGGCCTATTTTTAAATGTTTTATTACAATTTTCACTTTTTTCTAACTCGATTCCATTGGATGTGTAAATCCTGGGTGAAGGTTGTATGAATCTTGGGTGAAAACTTTTCTAAATAGACCTCTTCATTTCTTTGTGTCACCTGCACTCTCGGTAGTGAAATATCACAAGACCTTCCACTTGTATTATGCCTTCAGATTACATCATCTAATTAGTTATGTTGCAAATCTAGCCTTGACCAGTAAATGCTCTTCTCTCTCTCCTTGCAGAGACATTCCATTAGTGGACCTATATCTACTACTAAATCATTGCCAGGCTTGTCTGAGAAGAGGCCAAGTTATGCTGAAATTCCCGTACAAGGTACGTAGCATAGGAAAGATTGAGCATTATGTTGCCTTGAGCAATTTTTGATGACATTTTGGTCCCTGGGTGCATTGTAATAAAAGTCTGCACTCACTAATGTACCTATGGGAGCTGTAAAAAAAATAGCACTCATCGTTTCTTTCTTTTTTTTTGCAGAGCATCTGTTAAGAACTACTTCTAGCAGCAGAACAGCAGCAGCTTTACCTCGGGTCCCAACAATAGATAGCACAAAATCCATCTCTGGTAAAGCTCGAAATTCATCCCAATGTATACCTATGTGTTTCATGGGCTCCAGTTCTCACCAGCGCAGTCCGTTCCGGACAGGAAAAATATTGCATGTCACATTTTCTCCGGTCCGGAAATGCACAATCGCGTCAAATGCACCGCACTGCAGTTAACAGCTGATAGCCCCCACTCCACACACACACAAAAAAAAACAAACACGTCGAACGCAGTAAAAACTTGCTGCACGCATAGCACCGCGTCTGCAGATCTGGACCAGAAAATGGTGTGAACAAGCCCTTAAATGGCAACTATAGTGGTCAGGTTTAGTTGTAGAAAGCAGTTAATGTGGCATTCACTGTAGGTTAATCAATCACTGTGATTTAAAACGCATGAGAGGAGGATACACCTGCAATGACATTCACTGCTTCCGAAATATGTACCTTTTATTATTTTGTGTTCTAGTTTGGTTTTTACACAGCTATACACCGAACAGGTTTACAAATCGGTTTTTGCCCGAACACTTACCCTTCGCTCCTTTGCACATTTTTTCCCCTAGCGCTTTATTATTTTTTAATGGCTATACGATTTTAAAATGTACTTGCTTTTTTTTACTGGATTTACATTGTGCTATATGCATTGTAGCACATGTGGTAACACACTCAGTTGGGTGTCGATGGGCCCACAGAGTTTCTCTTTTTAAAAACACCCTAAACTGCAGCACATCGGTGTAGGCCAGCTTCATAGGAAAGAATGAGGTTTTTACTTGCTATACATTTTCATGCAGTAAAATGGTCCCTACAGCATACATCACTGCAGTGAATCATTTATCTGAGCTTGTAAATTTCAGCTTGAGCTATTCAGTTCTATAAACAATGGACTTCTTTCAGTAATGGATGTATAGCTAAAAATGTTAAATTAAACTAGAGCTTTACCAAGAGCATGCAAAATATTAATATTTTATAGTTACCTGAATAAAGCTATTTTTTATTAAACGAAGGGAGAAATGTTCACATAATCATTATACATTTCCTTTAAAGTTGTGCAGATTTTCATAATGTTGAATACTGGTTATGAAGATATTAGAAAGATAGAACAAACACAGGAACATATGGTAACGTTCAGTATGTGATAATGTAAAAAGAAGTGGCTGATTTTCTGTAGGGAAATTAATCTTTCCAGTAACCATTATTTGTAGAAGTTATTCTGTAGCTTCCAAATGAATGATTTGGTATGTGTTCCTTGCTTACTAATGCATTTGCTTGCCTTCTCCTTTTTGTTTTGGGTCTGTTTTTTCACTTCCTGTGCTCAGAATAGAAATAATATTTCAGAGGAAGTATCTAACCTGAACTTCCATAGGGATTTCCTGTGCTTGTCTGAGGTCTCATGAGGTGGATGCAGAATAGAATTTGGATAATAATTGGTATACTGTGAAAGTTATTAGTTGGTATATATCCAAGCCTTATTGTTGCAAATGAACAGACATTTTAAAATAAATGTAATATCGTATTGTGTTTTCTGCACGTCTGTCTATCTTCCTTGCTACTGTGGTCATCAGATTTAGAGCCAAACTTGTAGACTGAGCGCTATGCCAGGAGTTGTATCCTATGCCCAACTTGTCCTCTTGGTGCCATTATCTGAGACTGAAAGCTGTTTCCTTTTATACACTGTCTGTAAGGTTATTTCTGTCCTTTTTCTAGTGTCACGCCGCAGCAGTGAGGAACTGAAACGTGACATCACTGTTACAGATGGGAATTCTTCTTCTCCCTTGATGTCAATGACTTCACCCTCATCACAGCTGTCCCTCACCTCTTCCTCTCCCACTGCGTCTGTCACACCAACTGCACGGAACCGAATCAGGTAAAACAGGATCTTCAAGAATTAATTCATTTAAAGTAAAGAAAAAAGCTTGGTATTCAATTTAGGTAAACATTTATTACAAATTATTATATGCACATAGATACTCTATTATTTGGGGCTGAGCTGATGTCGATTCCTACGCACTCTGGAGTCCACTGACACGGGTGGTTGCAAAATCAAAAAGTGAAAGCATGGAGGAGGAGGAGTATCCTCACCCAGTGCATCCACAAGTCAATCTTATTTTCCTTACCTTATGTCAACGAGTCCTATCCTAATTTGTGTCGATGGAAATGATGTCATCTACTCCACCAGAGAAACATGCATCTTATATTGGAAGAAGTTTCAACTTTGGTAGCTTCCACAGGAGAATCGTCCATTCGACCTAATCTAGTCCCTGCAAAGATTTGCCTGTATGGCCACAGCAACAGTACATTCACTTACTCTCTCTCTATACAACATAATTTGTGCCTTGTTGATGGTTGTGACTGGCCAAAAAGAATTTAGTTGGCCATATATTCCCTCCCCCCTCCTCCTCCTTGATGAAACGGCCGAAATTCGCACAGTAGGTGCCGCTGTCAGCACCCTTTTGGCCGGCATCCCTCAATCAGCTGATTAAAGGAGCAAGTCAGAAATTTTTTGAATGCACAGGATGGGCAGACAATGAGCTGCTGGCAGCTGCTGTCAGAATACAATGAAGACAGTGGGAGATTCTTTAATCAAGTGTTGATTGCGGAATCTAATATTTTCTTTGTTCAGCCTACAGGTTGAACTGAGAAAATATTAGTGTATGGCCAGCTTTATTTGTTAAGCTCCAGATTGTAAAATGTACTGCCTCTGCACCCCCTCACTGCCTATGCAGCCCTCCTGTTCCTCCCCTCTCATGTTTTGCTCTGTCTCTGCAGCCTCCTACTGCCTTTATGAGTATTTATATCTCCCATATATCTAATAGTATGTTGGAAACTTCTGCTGTATAAGAAGTGGCTATACTTTTTATCAGGAAAAGGGGTGATTTACTGTTGTTGGAAATGGAAAGTGGTAGCTCTCTTGGGTGCAAAGCAATATTTTGATCAAACCTCAAACTTCCATGCCTTTCAACTGTCTAACTCCAAGTCAATTGACTGTGTGGAAGTATCCCCTGCAAAATAAATCTGTTAGCTGTCTGCCTTTATTCATTGTTGGATGTTTTTGTTTTATACTTTGGGGCCGCTTCAGTAGATATGTCTAGTAACTGGAAGGGTCTTCTATGGCAGATATTATGGGTTTTAAGTATAAAAGGAAATGAGTCACTATGCCTGCTTGTTGTTTCATTGACAAATGCTTGATTCTTTAGATTTAACTAATCAAGATCATCCAGCGCTCTTGCTGATGCCCGGAGTCTACACAGGAACAGTTTTGTTACTCTGTATTCTAGCTTTTACAACTTCTGTGCAGTAGGGGTTCAGGCTGGGAGAGGCTAGGATTTTCTGATTTGCACAGTCGCGTGCTCCTTTTTTGTCTAATCAGCAGGCAGGTGAAGTGTGTATGACCAAATTATATTATTGACTCCAATACAGAAAAATTAGGCCAACTGACCTGGCCATGTAGCCTGGCAAGGGTTCCTGAATCACAGGAGGGACTGAACAAAAGAAATACTCTTTTGGCTGTCAAGATAGTTGACATAAGTGTTTCAGCTCTGTATTTTAGGTGCTTGTCTGAAGTTCAGTTTTTAAAAATTATGTATTTAGTTTATCAAAATGCACAGCAATAGTGAAGACAGACTCCGCTTAATTAGCTGTCCTCAAATTTTGGATTCACCAGAATACCTGCATGCTGATCTGTGAAGAATGCCACAGTGCAGGAGTCCGCACAGTCATAAGTCAAGAGTTGTATGATTCTCCACAGATTACAGAGATCTGAATCTATTTATGCACTTTTAAAAAAATGCAGTTAGTATCATTACTACCAACCAAATGTGATTCCTTTTGTGGCTTTTCTGAGTGAATTTCTTGTTAATTTGGCCTAATTGTTTGTCCAAAGAAGACTTGCACACTTTCTCCACATTTTGGGGAATTGATTACATTCTGCACCTCCTTACTATATATCCATGTATAATAAAAGATTCTCTATTGATGCTGTGGGAAGTTCTTCTGTCTGATATACAGTTGTGCTCAAACGTGTGCATATCCTTGGAGAATTGGTAATAGATGTACCATTTGTAAAGAAAACATATGTGTGAGCACAAACACATTTCTTTTATTTCTTATGGGATTCATATTGAACTGTAGGTCATAACAGAATGGCACAATCATAAAACAAAACATGGCAACAAATAAAAAAATGGAATGACCCCTAACGGCTAACAAACTCAAATCTCATATAGGTTTTAAAGTCCAATTGAACACTCAGTTTAAATCAGCTTAATACATTCCAGGTGCATCAAAACAAAAGGTGTTTCAAGTCTAAAGGTGCCCATATACCTGTCGATTATCGTACGATAATCGCAGGAAATCCCACGATCGTACGATAATCGGCAGGTGTATGGAAGGCGTACGACCGTTTCTACTGTACAGTCGCACGTCTTTTGTCTCCCGAGCAGGCTTGAAACCCCGCCGAGAATCGTACGATTGTCGGTGGGTTAGTGGCGTTCTCGGGAGTTAAATGCCGAACGGGCCGGTGTGCGCAAGAGCACACTGCCCGCTCAGCACTGCAATAATCGGAAGCCCTCCCCTCAGCGGGGCAGGCTTGCGATGATCGCAAGTACAATCTGTCCAAGATGGGCAGATCGTACGAGCTTTTAATTAGCTTACAACCATCACAAGACGAAAGTCGTGCAATGGTTGTAAAGTGTATGGCCAACTTTACAATTCTGTCTGAGTAGCAAAGCCTGTTTCCTGCCAGCCTGGTGTAGAGAAGAACCCTTGCTCTCTGTGTGGCAGCAGTTGTATCTCTACACAGGTATTTGCTGATTGCAGAGCTATAAATAATATACAGATCAGACAGACAGCTTTCAGGTTATGTACATAGACATCCAAACTGCACTAGTGGCATGCTGTAAACTTCATGAAAGAAAACAGTTCAGACATCTTTGCCAGTTGAACTCTCTATGATGCACCTTATTTGCTGGTACTGGCTCTTTGTTTGATCTATGATCTCACTATGCTGTGCTGCAGGGTCAGCAGGTTGTCTCTTTAAGCAAGCTTTTTTTGTATTCTCTTGCGTTCCTACTATCTTTGAATGTATAAAAAGATGATCAGATTCACTCTCCATCATTTTTTTTTTTTTTAACTGGTTATATCACAGCATCTTCGTTCACTTACCTTACCTTACCTAACATTTTCATATCTTAGGGAGGAAAGAAAGGACCCCTTGGCAGCCCTAGCAAGAGAATATGGTGGCTCTAAGAGGAATGCTTTGCTGAAGTGGTGTCAGAAGAAGACTGAGGGATACCTGGTAAGCATGGAATTATGAAAAGAATGCTAGTGCATGTAACTGTTTAGACAGCTTTTGCATATAAACCCAACTGGCACTGAAGGAATTATAGCTAAAGGAAGTTTATAGAGTGTTTTAATCGAAATTTATTGTAACGTTCGCCAGAAAGTCATTTCGGATTGACTTGCACTTTTTTTTTTTCTTTACATGCTTTCTATAACATGTTGCCATTTTAGCAATTCAAGTACAGGTTGTTCTTCTAGTGCTCGTATCTGAGTCAGTGGAGGCAGAATCCTTGCTGTGCAGCTGATATAACCACAAGTTACACACATATAGACAATGCGGTTTTAGTCAGTCTTAGCTGGTTGATTGCATTGTAAAGGACCTTAAGTGTGCTTTAGCCATTTTACTGCTGCCATAAGTATTATGGTGTGTAGCAGCAAAGGGATTTAAACAAACTTATGGTAATATTAAATAAATATATTTATTGCACAAAAGAAAGTCCCACAGAGTGCCTTGTGCAATAGTCTCCAGGACGTCAGCATCCACTGGGCTCCATATCAATGTTCTCCAAAAGAAGGTTACCTGAAGCCATGAGCTTGTGTGTATGATAGTCCCCAAACTGCTTCTTACATGGCTGCCCTGGCCCAGAATCAACAATTCTAAGCTCCTCTGGGTTCATCCTCAGTCTCTCCTTGCTGACGAGATTTCCTTTTTTTCCAGTCCTGACCTCCTAGGACCTAAGAGTTAAACGTATTCTCCATTTTGAAATTTCTGAAGATTAAAGTCCTGCCTAGAGCCACATCATGCCTGCTATTTTATTAGCCAGAAAAGCTGCTTTTCTGCCCCTCTGATTTAGGCTTCATTCACACTGTAATCGGCCCGCACATACAGCTCCCGGGAAGGACAGGGGCTGCGCATGTGATTAGTACGCAGCCCCCGTCCTTCTCTATGGGACTACGCTGCCCTACGCTTACCCGCCCTGCATGTCCGTCCGGGTGAGCGTACTCTTACGCTGACAGGATGGATCCTGTCTGCGTCCAAGACAGGAAACATGCACCCCTACGGACTTGCACTTGAGGTGAGCGTAGGGGGGCGTACGGCTGCCTAGTCCCATAGAGAAGGACGGGGGCTGCGTACTAATCACACTCAGCACCTGTCCTTCACGGGAGCTGCCCGATACGGCCGTACACGCAGCACGGAGCTGTACGTGCCGGCCGATTACAGTGTGAATGAGGCCTAAGTGTCACTTTAGACCCCGTTCACACCAAGGCATCGTCATATTTGCGCAGGTAGAAACACGTAGGTAAGCTAGCTTTTTTTTGCACCTTTATGTGAGGGAAAACCTGTGCAGATAAGGAAGCGCGTTTTGACTGGCAGCTTAAACATTGTGGTCCATGGACAAACGCATATGAAAATGTGCAACAAGCTTCTGTCGCGCATTTCCTGGTGCTTTCATTGAAGTGTATGGGGTAAAAACGAGCTGCAAACTGCCAAAAGACTTTCATGTACTTTTTTCTGTTTGTGGCATTTTGCTGCTCAGATGTGAACAGCGGCCATTGAAAATCAAGAGATTTCTTCTGTTGGCGTTGTGAAGCGCTTTTTCTACTGCTCAAAAACACCTAGGTGTGAACCAGGCCTGAAACTATCAATCACATCCTGCATCTGTGTCTGGGAGTCATGCCTGTGGCTGTGAAAATCCTGCAATGCCTCATGGGATTTGTAGTTCCACAACAGTTGGAGGGCCGGAACTTGGCTACCCTTGCTTTAATGCCCATCTTTGTTCCTGGGGCCTTGTTTTCCTGCCATGGCAAACCTCTGCCAACCAGTGTTAATTTTAGCTCCAAATTTCGTTTTTGTCTTAGTCTTTTGATGAAAATCCATTTTTATTTTTAGTCGCATTTTAGTCATCAGATTAATTTTTGTTTTAGTCGACGAAACTCAAGTCGATTTTATTCTACGAAAATCGAATAGGTTTATTTTTAGTGTAATGCATTTTTTAAGCAATTCTCTAGCATTTCAAAACTTCTTTATTATATATCCCTGGAGTAATTTTTAATTAAATTTTACTTTTATTTTTTAAATTTTTTTAAAAACTTCATTGCTTTTACATGGGGGGGGGGGGGGGTTTAAAGCCC